ATAGGAGATCTCCAAGACGGCCAGGACGGCCTCAACACAGTCCAGCGGGGCCCCTGGACAGCCGAGGACGGACTCGGAGGGCCTCGAGCCTCCCAGTGCCTCCGGAGGGACCCAGGACGGCCTAAGGTGATCCGTGGACGGTCCACGACGGCCACAACAGACCACCCAGACGGCCACGAAGGACCCAAGACGCTCCGAGACGGCCCAACAGGGCCCCAGGATGACAAAAGAGGGCCCCAAGGGACCCCCAGGACTGTCCCACCCAGGCCAGCCCCAAGACGGCCCAAATGAGGTCCATGAGGGCTCCACGAGAAGCGAAGACGAAACGTGTCACATGTGACGGCTCACCTCTCTGTTTCATCATCCGCCTCATGATCATCACCACCATCATCACCACCTCCCTAGTCCACCTAACCATCATCAGCATCAGCATCAGCATCAGTATCAGCATCAGTCTCAGCATCATCATCAGCAGCATCATCAGCATCATCATCATAATCAGCAAATCATAACCAGCATCGTCATGTTTATCAGCCCCTTGTCCACCACAATCATCCTCATCTCCTCATCCGAATCCTCGCATCCTCGCATCATCCTCTCCCTCATCCTATCACCATCTCGTCCTCATCTGCCTCCTCCTCCTCCTCCTCTTCATCCTCCGCCTCCTCCTCCTCCTCATCATCATCATCAGCATCATCGGCACCATCACTATCACCATCATTACCATCATGATGATCATGAACATGATCATGGCCATCAGCATGGCAATCATCATCAGCAACATCATCAACATCGACAACCTCATCATCACCATCAATACCATCACTGTCAGCATCAGCATCATCATCATCACCATCCTCGTTCTCGTCCTCGCTTCTGTCGCCGTAATCGTCATCGTCATCGCCATCGTCATCGTCATCGGCATTATCATCATCATCATCATCATCATCATCAGCAGCAGCAGCATCATCATCATCATCATTATCATGGACGAGGGCCTCCTCGAGGGCAGGCTGGAGGACACGAAGGGCCTGCACAAACGCAAGTTCGGCCTGGACCTGGACGAGGACGAGAACCTCTGCGAGGACAAGCTGGCTGAGGACCTGAGGAGCACGCAAAAGCGCCAGCCTCGACCTGGTCGGGGACGAAGGTCTCTGCGAGGACGGCTTGAGGACCTGAAGGGTAGGCTCAAGCGAAAGCCCGGCCGGTACCTGGACGAGGACGAGGGCCTCTGCAAGGACAGGCTGGACGACATGAAGGGCCTGCACAAGCGCGAGGTCGGTCTGGACCTGGACGAGGGCGAGAGCCTCTCCGAGGACAGGCTTAAAAACTTGAAGGGTATGCACAAGCGCAAGTTCGGCTTGGACCTGGACGAGGGCGAGGGCCTCCTCTGCGAGGGCAGGCTGGAGGACCCGAAGGGCCCGTACGTGCGGGTGTTCGGCCTGGACCTGGGCGCGGGCATCGGCCTCTGCGAGGACAGGCTGGACGACCTGAAGGGCCCGCGCACGCGCAAGCTCGGTCTGGACCTGGACGAGGACGAGAGCCTCTGCGAGGACAGGCTGGAGGACCTGAAGGGCATGCGCAGGCGCAAATGCGGCCTGGATCTGGACGAGGAAGAGGGCCTCTGCGAGGGCACGCGGAAGGACAGGACCCGAAGGGCCCGTGCAAGCGCGACTTCGACCTGGACCTGGACGAGGACGAGGGCCTCTGCTTCCTGTCTGCGGGCGAGCTCCTGGCGGCGGGGGCCGCCTCCATGATAGGCCTCGCAGCGGCCAGCATCCTCCCGGGGGCCCCAGTCGAGGCCCCTCAGGCCTTAGACGACCCTGAGCGCGCCTGATGTCTCTGGCAGCGCTTGCTGCGTACCAGCCTAATCAATATCAACGGCAGCACCATCATCAACATCACCACCATTATCGTCATCAACATCATCATCAGCATCATCATCGGCATCGTCATCGTCGTCATCGTGATCACGACCACCATCACCACACCATCACCATCACTTCCACAACCATCATCATCAGCATCATCATACACATCATCATAATCATCATCAGCATCAGCATCGTCCTAATCGGTATCGTCATTGTCGTTGTCATCGTCATCATCATCATCATCATCATTTCCATCGCCACCATCATTAGCACTATCATTAGCATCATCATCACCAACATCATAATCAGTATCAGCATCAACATCAGCATCATCACACGCATCATAATCATCAGCATGGTCATCAGCATCAGCATCAGCATCATGATCATGATCATCATCACCATCATCATCATCACCATCATCATCATCATCGTCGTCGTCACCATCGTCATCATCGTCATCATTGTTATCATCGTCATCATCACTACCATCCTCATCCTCATCCTCATCCTTATCCTCATCCTAATCCTCATCCTCATTCTCATCCTCACCCTCCTCCTCATCCCCCGCCACATCCACCTCAACCTCCTCCTCCCCATCCTCCTCCTCCTCCTCCTCCTCCTCGTCCTCATCCCTATCCTCATACTTATCCTCATCACCATCATCATCAACATCATCATTATCATCAACATCATCATCACCTTGCGACCGTGCATGCCGAATGCAAGGTGGCTGTGCCGAGCTCTGCTCCCAGACCACTCCTATAGAGCCTGAGCATCGTCATCATCGTCACCATCAGCATCAGCATCGTCATCATATTTATCATCATCAACATCTTCATCGGTATCGTAATCATCATCACCATCGTCGTCAACCTCATCCTCATCCTCATCCTCATCCTCATCCTCATCACCATCCAAGAAAACTGGGCTGGTACAGTGGCGGGACTTGCCGCACGCAGTTGGATTATCAGGGGCGACGAGGGGGTAGCCGATGGAGGTTCCAGGAGGGAAAGAGTGATAGAGAGAGAGAGAGAGAGATCGAACGACAAGGGCCCGTGGCGAGCCCAACGGGGACGTGACGTGGAGCAGGCCGTCTCAAGACGCGGGGCTTGTCAGAAAACATCCGGCCTTTGAGAGGCCCTCTGCGGCTTCGGGGGAGGGCTTCTCAGAAGGCCAGGGGCCTTCTGAGCCGTCGGAGCACGCCCGCCCACCTCCGCCTTGCCTCCTCCTCCTCCTCCTCCTCCTCCTGCTCCTCCTCCTCCTCCTCCTCCTCCTTCTCCTCCTCCTGGGGGGGGGAGGTCCAGAGGGGCGGAGAGAAGAAACTCGCGGGGGCAACTCGAACGCGTTCTGCCCCTGCCGTGGCGTCTGAGCTGGTTAAAGAACCTTCGGCACGACCAGGGAGGTCGCTGACAACGAAGGCGATATCTGCAAGCAAAGAACCACGCGTACGCACGGACGCACAGGGCGCGCACGCGGACAAGGAAGGGCGCGGGAGAGGGAATGCAGAAGCTGGGCGACGACGATCAAGACTACAGCGGGTTCGTGTCGTGACGCGACGACTTGCTCAATGTCGTGCCGTGTCGTGTCGCGGTTGCTGACACCGCGTGGATAGTTCAATCTTGAACGATCGCGGCTTCCCCATAGCGCACAAATCGTTGGACACGGGCCGATTCGGGGCCACTGGCGGCGTTCAACCTTGAATCCCACCAGCACTCTGGGCGTCGGTGGTTGAGAGAGTTTCCTCTTCCAACCCCCTTCTTCCCCTTCGGGGAAGGGTTTACCCCTCCCCCTCCCCCCTCCCCTGGACCTGGGCGGGGGGTTCCGCGGGTCGTTGGGGCGTCCAAGATGGCCCAAGACGGCTCCCAGAGCGAAAAGGCGAGAAAACACAAAACATTGATTTTCCGTAGGTTTTGGAAGGAGTTTGGCCTCTTGGGGGGCCCAAGAGGCGACTCGAGGCACTCTAGAGGGGCAGCGCTAATTGACAACCCCCCCTTCTTTGATAGATCTCGCCCAAGATGGCCCCAAAAGCGGCCCGAAGGCTCCCAAGAGCGCCCCAAGAGCGCCCCAAGAGAGCCCTAAGACGCCCCAGGAGGCGCCCACGAGGCCTCCAAGAGACTCCCAAGAGGGTCCCCGAGATACGCGAGAGGCCCCCGGGCCCGCCAAGAGGCCCCAGAGACGGCCCAAGGGGCTCACAAGTTCGCCATTGTCCTCCTCCTCCTCCTCCCCTTTTTCTTCCTCCTCCTTCCTCCCCCTCCCTCTCCTCCTCCTCCTCCTCCTCCTCCTCCTCCTCCTGCTCCTCCTCCTCCTCCTCCTTTTCTTTCTCCTTCTCCTTTTCCTTCTCCTTCTCCTCCTCGTCCTCCTCGTCCTCGCCCTCATCCATCTCCTCTCCTCCCCCTCTTCCTCCTGCTCCTCCTCTTCCTCCTCCTACTCCGACGACGACGACGACTCCTACATCCTCCCCCTCTTGAGGCATATGGCGGCTTACCCGCCCTTTGTTCTTCTGCATGCCCCCCCGCTTCCCTCATCTCATTCCTGGACGGGCTGGTGGGGATACTTTTTTGGTTAGCGGCCCGCAAGGAAAAGTCCAAAGGGCGGTATGACCGAGGCTGGGGCACAGCGCAAGATAATTAGCGCGAGAACGCGCGGAATGCACCTGCAAAACAAATTAGGAAGAGAGGCGGCCACAATTGGGCAACCAACGAACACAGGCCGGACCCGCAGGTGGAAGCCGGACCGGTAACCTGCCAGAAGAGAACACGCAGACTGGGCGGATGCCAGCGGAAGAGAGGCGGCCACAGGTGGGCAACCACAGAACACAGGCCAGACCCGCAGGTGGAGTACCGACCGGCATCCAGAAGAAAGAGAGCGGAGCCAGGCGCGAGCGAAACAAACGGCCCGCGACCTAACAATCGCGAGCGAAGACGACAGGGCAGAAACAGAACGCCGCCGCGTCGACACGTCACGAACCTACTGTACGACTGCTAGTGGTGACGAGAGCGAGGAAAAACAAGCGAGGCTTCAGGAGGAGGATCATGGCGAAGCACCAGGATTAATGCTGAACGATACAGTGTGGCGTGACGAGCTGTGCGCGCGCAAGCAAGCAAATGCAGCGAAGCGGCAGGCCTGCGAGCTGCGCCCCCAGCGGTCATGTTGCCGAAGGCCACGAGATTGCCAGGTGGGCGGCCCCTGGAGCAAACTGCTCTTTAGCACTCGTTTGTATACGATTGCTGTGCGCTTGCAGCGAATGGCAGACGCCGAAAATGCATTGCTCCATGCACAACTGTGGTCCTCTTTCACTCTCTCTCTCTCTCTCGCTTTCTCTCTCCCTTCCTCAAAATATCTTTTGCTCGTGGCTCGGCTGCCGCGCATCCAGCCCGAGGGAGAGCTCTGGACCTACTGCACATGGGCAGCCGGAAGGCATTTGCCTCCCATCGCCGGTCGCCATTTTCGTTCCCACTTACTGTGTGGGGATGTCGCCGGGATCATGCAAGCAGCGTGCGGCCCGGGCTCCTGGCCAGACACCGGTCAAATGCCAATAAGGAGGCTGGGGATTGAAGGCACCAGCGACGGGATAACCATCGGGACAACCGTCTCCATCCATCGAACATTCTCTCCACTGGTCTCCCTATCGGTCGGCCTCACCATCTACATGTCGCCCCCTATCGATCTCACTGTATACGATCCAGGGCCGAGGGCGCACAGCCCCCCCACCCAGGCGGGATGAGTCCCAGGGTTCACAGGCCCGCTCCCCCCCACGACGACGACGACGACGACGACGACGACGACGACGACGACGGAAGGCGACGACGACCACACCACGCCCACAGGGCCACGACCACAGGGGGGCGAGCATCCAATCCAGCGGAAGGGAGGGCCCGATCCCATTAGCATTGGAGTGGGGGGGGGGCCAGAGCCCTGCATCAGAAATCCGACCGATCTCATTATCGATCAAACCATTGATGTCATTTTTTATCGATATCACAGTCTACGTCGGTATGTAGGTATATGCATACATCAATGCCGCTACTTATATTTAGATGTGTATTAAAAACTAAGGTATCCTTAGATGTACATGTATATATTTATTAGCCTCTTTAATTATTTTGTTTGATATTATTATATATACATCGATCTTGCGATTTATCTATCGATCTCAAGATCTAGCAGCCTCCATCCATCGAGCAACCTTTATCGGTCTGAAACCTATCGGCCTCATCATCTCTCGATCTCACTATCTATCGGGCCCACAATATATCTATCATTCACTTGGTATCACTATATATCGGTATGTTTATCTGTGTATCGATCTGACAATGTATTGGGGAGACGGAAGGCTCAGGTTCGGAACGCTCGGGTTGGTCTGACGGGGCCGCCAGGAAGATGACGAGACCCAATCTGAAATTTGACGCGGGCTCCCGCTGCAAACATCCCACGAAAACTGGACCATCAAACTCCAGGACGGGCTCGTCAAAATCATAGACAAATTCGAACTCCGGCGAACTCGAGTTATAGGTTTGCCCCTTTGTAGATCTACAGATACATCGAGACCAATCCTCTCGGGCAAATGTGTCCCTTGTCCATTGTTTGACTCTGAAAACTTTCCCTAGAGCAACAACAAACATCATCAGAGTGAGGGGGCCGAACGGTCATTCACTGTCCGTGGGGGCGTGGCTGAAGTGGAGTTCCGCGGTGCGGATTCTCGTTGTTGTTTGTTGTTGAATGTTGTTGTTTGTTGTTGTTGTTGTCGTCGTCCCACCCGCAACCCGCCCCGCGACCCACCCACGACCCACCCCGCGACCCACCCCGCGACCCACCCGCGACCCACCCGCGACCCACCCGCGACCCACCCCGCGACCCACCCCGCGACCCACCCCGCGACCCACCCCGCGACCCACCCCGCGACCCACCCCGCGACCTGCCCACGGCCCACCCCGCGACCCACCCGCGACCCACCCGCGACCCACCCGCGACCTACCCCGCGACCCACCCTCGACCCAAACCACGTTCAAGGTACAAACCACCATTTTCGGCGCCTGCAGCGGTTTTTTTTTGCATTCCTTCCAAATGGAGAGCCCGCGACCCACCCCGTGACCAACCCGCGACCAATCCGCGACCCACCGCGTTCAGGGTACAAACTACATTTTTCGGCGCCTGCGGCGGGCATCTTTTGCATTCGTTTCAGATGAAGAGCCCGCGGCCCACCCGCGACCACGTTCAGGGTACAAACCACATGTTTCGGCGCCTGCGGCGGGCATCTTTTGCATTCGTTCCCGGTGGAGAACCCGCGGCCCACCCGCGACCCAAACCACGTTCAGTGTACAAACCAAGTTTTTGTTGGCGCCTGCGGCGGGCATCTTTTGCACTCGTTCCAAGTGGAGGTGGAGAGCCCGCGACCCACCCGCGACCTAAACCACGTTCACTGAACAAACCAATGCCGCACAAGCGCGGCGGCGGATTGTTGCATGCCGTCTGAGCCCGCAAGGACCTCTTCAAGCCCCGCGCATCCACACCAGCCCGTCCAGCAACTTTGCCCTGGCGAGTTGCCTTGATCAGAGACGGCGGGGAGCATAAAGTGGAAAAAAGGATTGCGTTGCAGTTACCTTGGGAAAGGAGGGGGAGGCAGGAGGAGTAAACAGGGGACGACGAGAACGCGGAAGAAAGGAGGATGCACGGAGAATGTGGAGAAAGGAAAAAAGGAGGAGCAGGAGGACGAGGAGGGGGAGGATGGGGGAGAAGGGGGAGGAGGAGGACGAGGAGGGGGAGGAGGGGGAGGATGATGATGATGGACGACAATGGGAGGACGATGATGGAGGCCGATGAGGGGGAGGACAACAATGGGAGGACGATGATGAAAGGACGAGGGGGGAGAGGGAGGACGAGGAAGAGGAGGAGGAGGAGGACGAGGTGGAGGAGGAGGATGACGATGACGATGAGGACGAGGACGAGGAAGAGGAGGACGAGGAGGAGGAGAAGGAGGAGGAGAAGGAGGAGGAGGAGAGCGCCATCGACAGGGAAGGTGGGGGCCACGAGGTCCGCCGGCTCGACGACGCCCGCGTCGCCCGCGCCCGCCCCCTCACTCTTATCCGCAATTGCGGGGTGCTACGTAAACAAAAACTTTCAGCAATCCGTGTGGATTTCTTGGATCTGCGCTGGGGCCCAAAAATCCGCGCTGAGCTCCGAAAGTGTATGTTTATGCCGATGGTTGTTCTTTGATATCCCGCCTCATCCCGCATAGTGCCAATCCCCTTCGGCACATGTCTGACAGCGCAGACCGAATGATGCGCGTTTGGTGAGCGGACTGGCCTGCAGCGACCTTTACAACGAGCGGTGATATGTCTGCATCAATCGGTAGATCACCAGTACCCTTCATAGCCATCGCCTTTGCAAGTTGGACCTTCAAACAATCTTCTGTCCTCCTGTTTCTTCGCTTGGATCGGGCGAAACAACCAAACCACGTAGCGTGCTGATGTTTGACAAACGGGCTCTCGAGTCCGACCCAGACATTCGACGTCAGGAGCTCCACCTCGGAGCTGTAGGGGACGTCTGGGAGCCTCCTGGGGGCGTGTTTGGGGGGCGGTTTTGGGGGCTCGACCAGTCCATCGGAGACTAGACGGGCCATCGACAAATCGGAGCCCAAATCGGAATCCGGAACCGAACCGAATCGGAATCGGAGTCCATCAAAATCGGATCGAAGCGAACCTCGGCGGCCATCCCAGGGGGCAGTGAGAAGAGGCGGATCTTCTCAAGAGGCTCAGCAAGCCCCCCGGCCTTCCGAGAAGTGCACCCCGAGCCTTCCCCGAAGGCACAGAAGACCTCTCGGAAGGCGCGAGGGCTTCTGAGAGGCCCCGCCGCCTTCTGAGAGGGCCTTCTCCTTCCCACTCCAGCCCCCCCTCGCTCGCCGCCGAGCGTCGGAGGGGTCGCACTGAGCCCTGGGGAAAAGGCGCCCCGGGCGGGGCCGCCTGAGGCCCAGCCGCTGCCCCGCCGAGGCCGGCGCGCCCTCCGACGCCATGAGCTGGCGGACCAGCATGAACTGGTCCAGGGTGACCGCCTCGGCGCGCCCTCCTCCCATCCCCCCCTCGTCATCCTCCGCCTCGCCCGCCCTTCCTCCTCCTCCTCCTCCTCTCCTCCTCCTCCTCCTCCCCCTCCTCCCCCTCCTCCTCCTCCTCCTCCTCCTCCTTCTCCGCCTCCCCCTCCTCCTCCTCCTCCTCCTCCTCCTTCTGGTCCCCCTCCTCCTCCTCCTCCTCCTCCTCCTCCCCTCTCCTCCCTCCTCCCTCCTCCCTCCTCCCTCCTCCTCCTCCCTCTCCCTCCTCCCTCCTCCCTCCCTCCTCCTCCTCCTCCTCCTCCTCCTCCTCCTCCTCCTCCTCCTACTCCTCTGGACACGTGGCGCGCGGAGCGTCCGCGAGACGTGTCAGGGGCAACGAGAGGGGGGATAGGAGGAGGAGGAGGAGGAGGAGGAGGAGGAGGAGGAGGGGGAGGAGGAGGAAGAGGAGGAGGAGCAGGAGGAGGAGGAGGAGCAGGAGGAGGAGCAGGAGGAGGAGGAGGGCAACGACACGGGGGGACAGGCACAGCGGGGGAATTCATCGACCTCCGATCGCCCCTTGATCGCCAATAGGGGCCCGATAGCCCCAACCTGCGCAGGAAGGTGCGGATTCACGATCGGAGGCCTCTCGCCGATCTATCGGCGACGTATCGCCGATTCTGGGTCGATGCATCCCCCCCTGTGCCAGTCCCCCCCTATCGCTGCCCCTCAACATGCCTGTATCCATTAACGGGCGAAGAACGGTGTAACATAAACTTGTTCGCTGTCGGGGGCGCCTGTCCCAGGGCGGCTGGACAATTTCTACCCATACGGTGGCACGTCGAATTATAATGTTTCCAGCCGCCCTGGGGCAGCGCCCCAGGCGACAGAACAAAATTATGTTGTCAGAGTGAGGGGGCCGAACGGTCATTCATTGTCCCTGGGTGCGTGGCTGAACAAGGAATTCGTGGTGAGAACTATGCTTGTTGCGTTGTTGGTGTTGCTGCTGCTGTTGTTGTTGTTGTTGTTGTTGTTGTTGGTGTTGTTGTTGTTGTTGTTGTTCTTGTTGTTGTTGTTGTTGTTGTTGTCGTTGTCGTTGTCGTTGTCGTTGTCGTCGTCGTTGTTGTTGTTGCTGTTGTTGTTGCTGTTGCTGTTGCTGTTGCTGTTGTTGTTGGTGTTGTTGAACATTATTAATTCTAAAGAATAATTATTGTTGGGACCCCTGGTGCACGGCCCCCCCGCCGCGCCTAGGCCGCAGCTACATTTTCATCATTTTTTCGCGAAAGCTTCAGAAAAGTGGATGGGGTCCAGATCCGGTTGTTTTGTTGTAATCCGTTTTCCCTTGCAAAAAACACTATAAAATGACATTTCTTGTTCTAATATAATCAAATTTCAAGAATCCCTTGCAAAAAATAAGGTAAAGTGGACATTCGCGCGCGCAAGACGAAATCCTTCCAAAAGCTTAGTGTTCGGAGCGATTTTAACATAAAAACATCAAAAAACCAATGGTTTTTCAACAAAAAAATGTCAAAATCTCATCCCGCGCGCTCTTGCGGATTCGTAGGAAACCCAACACTTTTTAAACATTTCTGTCAAACGGGCTTTTGCGAGCAACTTTTTCGAACTTCTGCGACAACGGTTGCGCACCTGCCAGGGCCATCATCCCTGTCAAATAATACCATGCGGGACACATTCGTTTTTTCTTCGCGCGCGCACGCCGAAATCTCCAAAAACCATATGCATCATATGCAACAGATGTTCTGTGGAAGGCTTAACAACTTCTGTGGGTTAACAAGGCTTAACAACTTCTGTGGGTGTACGAACGTAGGCTTAACAACTTCTGTGGGTGTGTACTCCACGCCAGTGTAGTAGCCACGGTCGTCCGCAGGCCACGAAGTGAAGTGTCCGAACGTCATAGGGCGGGAAGCTGGGTGTGGGTGGTGGCGAAGAGTCGTGTGGATATTTGGTAGAGCTTGCACTGCCCCCCCACAAAGTGGGGGTATTGGCTGGCGTCGCATGAAAACCCTGGCACTGGTGAGAACACTGAGCGTTCGGGTAAAGTGATTGTTGTTGTTGTTGTTGTTGTTGTTATGTGGTTGTTGTTGTGGTGGTGGTGGTGGTGGTTGTTGTTGTTGTTGCTCCCCATATCCTAAGATGGGGTTCTTGTTATTCCCCATATCCTAAGATGGGGTTCTTGTTCTTACTTGGACGCCTCCTACTCCTTCTCCTTCCTCCTCCTCTTTTCTCCTCCCCTCCTGTCGGGCTTACTCATACTCAGACTTGCACATACACAGACTTACTCATACTCAGACTTACTCATACTCAGACCTACTCATACTCAGACTTACTCACACTCAGACATACTCATACTCAGACTTACTCATACACAGACTTACTCACACCCAGCCGTACTCATACACAGACTTACTCATACACAGACTTACTCATACACAGTATTAGTCATACTCAGACTTACTCATACCCAGACGTACACATACACAGACTTTCTCATACACAGACCTACTCATACCCAGACTTACTCATACACAGACTTACTCATACACAGACTTACTCATACTCAGCACCCCTAAGGGGAGCCGCCAGGGGTGGTTGCACGGGCTCGTTCGCGGCCATTTTGTGGGGATGTCTCAGGCGGTTTGCCTGTTTCTGTGCCCAACATCCTTCGCTTTCGGAAGCAGATTTGGAGGATGTCTCGAGCGAGGCGCTCATTTCAGCACCCCTAAGGGGAGCCGCCAGGGGTGGTTGCACGGGCTCGTTCGCGGCCATTTTGTGGGGATGTCTCAGGCGGTTTGCCTGTTTCTGTGCCCAACATCCTTCGCTTTCGGAGCAGATTTGGAGGATGTCTCGAGCGAGGCGCTCATTTCAGCACCCCTAAGGGGAGCCGCCAGGGGTGGTTGCACGGGCTCGTTCGCGGCCATTTTGTGGGGATGTCTCAGGCGGTTTGCCTGTTTCTGTGCCCAACATCCTTCGCTTTCGGAGCAGATTTGGAGGATGTCTCGAGCGAGGCGCTCATTTCAGCACCCCTAAGGGGAGCCGCCAGGGGTGGTTGCACGGGCTCGTTCGCGGCCATTTTGTGGGGATGTCTCAGGCGGTTTGCCTGTTTCTGTGCCCAACATCCTTCGCTTTCGGAGCAGATTTGGAGGATGTCTCGAGCGGGGCGCTCATTTTCACCCCCCAGGTGGGCCAGATTTTGAGGATGTCTCGATCGGTTTGCTAGTTTTGGTGGCCAGGCTCGTGGGCGCAGATTCTTCCCAGGATGCCACAGCAGGCTCCAACAGGCTCCAGGAGGCTCCAGGAGACCACACGAGGTCCCAGGAGGCATCAGGAGGCCACAGAAAGACTCAAGAGGCCACAGGATGTCCCAAGAGGCTCCAGGAGGCACCAGGAAGCTCCAGAAGGCCTCAGGAAACCACAGGAGGCCCCAGGAGACAACAGGAAGCGCCAGGAGGCCTCGGAAGGCAACAGGAGGCCCCGAGAGGCCCCAGGAGCAGGAGGCCTCATAAGGCAACAGGAGTGGCGCCAATCCCATGTGTTTTACGTATGCTCCTGTCGATTGGGCCTTACCTGGAGCACGATTCTTTGATGGTCTACGTATGTTTCTATATATGGTCCTTCTCCTGTGTACACAATCCTAAATGTTTTACTCATGTTCCTATGTATTGGGCCTCGCCTGGGGCACGAGTCCTTGGTGTTTTACGCGTGTTCCTATATATTGCCCTTCTCCTGTGGCTCTAATCCGCAATGTTTTATGTACGTCTGTTGCTATAGATTGCGCCTCCCCTGGGGCACGAAACCTTCCTAGGAGGTCCCAGGAGGTCCCAAGAGGCTCCTGGAGACCCCAGGAAGCCCCAGTAGGTTTCAGGAGGCCCCAGGAGGCCCCAGGCTCATGCACAGAGACGCGCTCGTACTACTGAGGCTCATTCACACTCCAATTCATTCGCAGTTAGATTGATGTCCAGACCGTCACAACTGAAGCCCGTTAATATTCGAAAGCTCTTGCGCCTAGACATTCACGGCGGACAGGTCCATGCGAGTAGATGCACATATGGGGAGCTCCACGCAGTGAATAATTACTTGGACGCATCCTACTCCTCCTCCTTCCTCCTCCTCTTTTCTCCTCCCCTCCTGTCGGACATACTCAGACTTGCTCATACACAGACTTACTCATACTCAGACTTACTCATACTCAGACCTACTCATACTCAGACTTACTCACACTCAGACATACTCATTTACAGACTTACTCATACACAGACTTACTCATACACACTACTAGTCATACTCAGACGTACACATACACAGACTTACTCATACTCAGCACCCCTAAGGGGAGCCGCCAGGGGTGGTTGCACGGGCTCGTTCGCGGCCATTTTGTGGGGATGTCTCAGGCGGTTTGCCTGTTTCTGTGCCCAACATCCTTCGCTTTCGGAGCAGATTTGGAGGATGTCTCGAGCGAGGCGCTCATTTCAGCACCCCTAAGGGGAGCCGCCAGGGGTGGTTGCACGGGCTCGTTCGCGGCCATTTTGTGGGGATGTCTCAGGCGGTTTGCCTGTTTCTGTGCCCAACATCCTTCGCTTTCGGAGCAGATTTGGAGGATGTCTCGAGCGAGGCGCTCATTTCAGCACCCCTAAGGGGAGCCGCCAGGGGTGGTTGCACGGGCTCGTTCGCGGCCATTTTGTGGGGATGTCTCAGGCGGTTTGCCTGTTTCTGTGCCCAACATCCTTCGCTTTCGGAGCAGATTTGGAGGATGTCTCGAGCGAGGCGCTCATTTCAGCACCCCTAAGGGGAGCCGCCAGGGGTGGTTGCACGGGCTCGTTCGCGGCCATTTTGTGGGGATGTCTCAGGCGGTTTGCCTGTTTCTGTGCCCAACATCCTTCGCTTTCGGAGCAGATTTGGAGGATGTCTCGAGCGAGGCGCTCATTTCAGCACCCCTAAGGGGAGCCGCCAGGGGTGGTTGCACGGGCTCGTTCGCGGCCATTTTGTGGGGATGTCTCAGGCGGTTTGCTTGT